AACCCTGGTGAACAGTAGGAGGTTGGTTGGGGATGGTGGATCCAGCGCAGCCCGAAACTGAAGACTTGCATTCCTCATGGATCCGCTGGGCAGGGTCAGCAGTCAAAAAGATGAAGAAGCACCCTTCTTCGAACAGAGTGATGTAACTTCGCATAAGCCAGGATTTGACTTAAAGCTGATTCTGGGTAGCTGCCAGGGCAACCATGTTTGATTCTTTGGCTGGGGCACCGTTTATACATGAATGTGCGTATATGTGCGTATACAGCATATATTTAATTAGGGTTACCCTGGCCTACAACCAGCGTCCAATTTCATGCCCAGGTTGGGCTTTCCGACAGTCCTTGAAAGGTGACATGAGACTTGCGAGTTGTCAGTTTTAAGACCCGGGAATCGTTTGGAAGCCGCCCGTTGGGAGGTTTGAGCGCCTCGACCCTAAACTCGCTTGAACTGCATGTCCTGGCGGCCAGCACAAGTGCTTGCGCGCCGCTTCATGACGTGCGCTGCATATTTTTAGTGAGCACCGGCGCTGACGGCAGAGAGTTCTGGTGCAGATGAAGTCTTCACGGGGATCCTGCATACTAGTAACTAGTAGCTTCAAAGACCCACTATATAGTAGCTTCTTGTTACTATAGGTAAATCCCCCAGTCTACATCCTGCGTTGGTCACGGTGAAGCGACCGATCTGCGCTCAGACCTGCCGTCATGGGCCGACTCTGTACAGTTTGGACCGCCACGTGCAGTCTTGCCCTATTACATCGGTCGGACGTCGTGAGCATTGCAGATGTTCGCCCAACTTCATGGAACAGTTCGGGCTTTTCATGTAGAAACCTATACTGTAATGATGCAGCAAAGGTCGGTCTATATGTTGGTCTCTTTCCCTTCTGAGTGGAGGCCTTGAGTGACTCTTGGACCCTAAACTCGGGGTGAGTTTGGGTGTGATGCCCTGGTAGCCATCCATTCGCAGTGTGTCCTAGTAGGACTTACCGACCTTTTGAGGAGACGGGCTCGAGCACTGGCAGGCTGCCAAAGAGTGGCAGTTGGTCAAGAAAGCGCCCATGGGCTGTGACCAGTGCCATTGAAACTGAATCGACGGTGGATAAACCACGCAGCAGACAGAATGAGTGATACACTCACTGTAGGGGAACACGATGTCCCAATTCTCTTTTTTTCTTCCTGTCTTTGCTTTCCGAGCCCCTATACATCCCTATGCTCTACGACGGGGGAAATTCGGGGTTTTTGCTTTCCAAGAAGGACGTCGCCACACTGACGTTTCCTTGCCGATTCAAGCGCAGATTTGTGGATGTTTTATGAAGCTTCCTCAATCTACTGTAGACCCTGATCAGAGGCCTTCGAGCAACCGTCATGACTACAGCAGTAGTCACGATGGGTCCTTGATGTTACACGCTCGAGTGAGACTTACTTGACGATGGCTCGGCATTGGTCTTGCGATCGACTGCTCCACGGGACCCGCAGCTGTCGACTGCTTTGCGCGCCCCGTTTTTCCCAGCCCAGACGGGTGTCGAGATCGATCTCAAGAGATCGTTGGTGGTTTGGGCCACTCGAGAGGAGGAAAGACCTGGCCCCGTAAGTTGAAGCCATACAGTTCAGGGCAGGTAAGGACCGTTGCTTGTCTGCACCTCCGCCCCCAGCGGAAGAGAGAATGTAGTCCCATTGGCCGTGGGGAATCTCGGGAGGGGGGTAGCCTCGTAGCCTAGTACCCCCTCCCAAGTACCCGATGTCATCTTCTCAATTCGATTTTTTCATGGTGGCATCCGAGCAGTGCCAGCATGTTCATCAGCTTTTCATTGCCAGCATGTCCCCTTCTTCTTCCTGGGCGAAGTCTGGGATTCGTGGTGCTTGCCAGACATGGGGTCCGGCGAAGGTGGTTGCGTTGCCCAGATCGAGGGACGACGTCGTGGGCGAAAAAGTCACCAGCTCGACCAAGTCCAGCAGTGCAAAACCACCACCGACACGTGATCGAATGAACTACGAACAATGGTTCGTTGTGCTCGAAGATGTAAAGAGCCAGGTGGCAGCGAGCCATTGATGGCAGGGTCCCAAGAGTCCTTGGTTGTTTGTTTGCCAACCCCCTACGCCGCTGCATGCACATCCATGAGCACACATATGACACCAAAAATATAATACAGTAATATAAATATACATTATATAATATACTGTGCTATTTTTTGCAACATGGCATACCAACACACTGGTGCCGCAAAGCAAAGCAACGTGTAGCAGCGTAGCACTTCGGGCAACCATGAATGAGGTGGTTTATGACCTACTGTACAAGGATGTTCCCGGAGCACCATCAATCTGAAAGCCTCGAAGAGTTTACGCCAACGCATTCCAGGTGTGGCAACTTTGACCCTGCACAGTGGTTTGTATCAACCTCCGGTCTGACATCCCTGAGATCGGAAGATCTCTGGACCCTGCCTGCTGCTGACATCGGAAGATCCCGCGAAGATCCTCTGTGGTGTGCGGCCGTGGAATGCACAGGTCGTCGGTGGGCAGCGAGTTCCTTTTGGGGCTTGATGACATGCGGCCCACGCATGTAAACATGACTCAAGGCGGCAATTGTAGTCAAGTGGGTGGAAACCAGGGTTCTCCACATGCCCATCCGGAAACCACACCGAAATGGGGGCTCGAGAAGCCAAACGCGTCTTGTCGGATCTAGGTGGCCAGGCTTGTTCAACCGAACAGAGAGAAACGTGATCCGGTGCGTCCTGATGTTGAACTGAGCATTCCTCCCAGAGGGGTCCAAGTAAACCCCCAGCAGACGCACCACATGGAACCCTGCGACTGGACCCGTGGTGGAAGACCATTTTTTGACGAACAACCCCAGTGGTCTTGGGGTTCTGTTTATCTGCAGGGGGGTATATATGTCCCACTGACTCTTTGCCAACCTATTCCTTGCCTGCACCGATTGGCGTGCCGTCCGCGGAACCCCAGCGTCCTCCGCCGCAACTCTGCCAAGCCCAGCTGTCGCAGAGGTGAAACGGGCGAGACGAAACGAGCGGCTGGCGGCTGGCACATCAGGGCGAATGGATGTGTCCAACGGCTGTGTTGATTTAGCTTGTTGACCGACTTTGCCAAGGCCCTGGGTAAAGAAGTCAATTGGACCCCCTTTGGCCTGCACTGACGTGGGCATATGTGGGCAATTTCGTGTGACATAACGGAAGCGACTTGACGCTAGTGTGGCCAGTATGGAGGAAGTCGGCCGAAGCCGGGCTTACTTGCCGGGCTTACTCCCTGATTTTCGTAAGTTAAGGTGGGCAAAGGTGTACCAAGATGGAGGACAATACCAGGGGCGGCTGATCCAATACCATGGGAATGCCAAAGGGGGATCTAGGGGCAGGCCCTTGCAGGTGCAGGGCAATGGTTGTTTTTCTGCCAGGCCATAGCCTGTTATACACATATAGAATCATATTATATACGTTTTTTGTATCACATATACCCTGGGAGTCAAAGACTATGCAAAGAATGGTCTTTGGGTGACCCGCAAAAATCCGACCAGGCCTTTCAAGATATATCGTCTTTGGACTTCTAGGGTATCTGTGTTTTCATGCACGCGACGATGCAAATCTCACCGTGACCAGGATGTTTCCCGAGCCTCATGTCACCAAGTCTCAGACCCGACGTTCTGAGCAACCGGCCGTGTCAGGGGCTGGATCGCTTCGCGGACTTCTTCCGGGCGCCGCTCTTCCAAAAGGAGCGGGTGGCAGGTGGCCGGCGGATCGAATCGGGGCTTCCGAGGACGTGGAGGGATTGACCTCATGGGTTCGCACTGGAGCTGCTGGAAGCGACCCCAACATGGGAAGAACCATGAGTTCGAACAGGCCCATCTGACCCTCCGCAGCCCAGATGGGCCAGGAAAGGTTGGAGGACGATTTCTGGAGATGACCTTGGGGCCTTCATGGGGCGGTCGAAGTTGGATGGCACGTGCCATTTCCGTCGCAGTCGTGTGTCCACTCTTCTGGGGAATTGGCCGTGATGGAGGTGGCATGGCCCAAGAATGAACACCTAGGACCTAGCACCCTTCAACACCCTTCACTGAAAAGGCATCATGGCCAATGGCCAATGGGGTTGGTTGATATGGATTGCACCTGGCCAACGGCCTGGGCGTGGACGCAGATCGGAGTTTCCCAATGTGGGGCATCCGCGCCCAAGAGCTGTTCTTTTTTCACAAAGCACGCAACCTTTCGTGATCTTATTGAAAATAAGTCCAAGAGGGGAAGAGGTTGAGTTTGATGAATTGGTGAATCCACCGTAAAAAGACAACATAATGTATATCATCCTGATTCTGGCCCACGTGGGGCAATACTGCTTGCTTTATGGCCTTCACCTATGACCCATCACCGAGAGAAGATGACTACTTGAGTGAGCTGAGGCCAACGGCTGCAGGATGGACATGAGAAGCAAAGAACAGTAAGATCAGTAAGTGTAGACAGTAAAGCGCGTATTATACACACCGATGAAAATCACACTTAAGTAAAACAAATACTATACAACAAGAGTTACGCGCACACACACAGATATATACATATATATATATATATGCACAGACCATACAGATACACACAGATGAAAGTTGAGGTATATGTGCAAATGCATCCCAAAGCACGCCCTTTCATTCTTCCCTTTATTTTTCGCATACTTGACTGAGAATGCATGCCTGCACGAGCCTAAATATTTTGAGACTATTGCCGGCCAATGAACAAAGCCACATTTAGGGCTTGAGACCCCGGAATGGGTGTTTGCAGTGCAATCTTGAGAGAGCCCATGGAAAATGTCCACCGCCAGCAGTGAACACCGTCCCTGAACTAGCAATCCACTGTGGACGAAGCCTTTTTTTTCGCCCAGCTGGACTGACCAATGCTGGGCGACGAGGTTCCTACAACCCACTGATATGATATAAATATAGACCTTATTATTAAAAAATTGTCTGTGCAGGATCTTCGGTGACGCCTCATCACCGCGGGAAAATGCACCCCCCACGCCATCTCAGTCACGCCTCCTTCCACGATCTGATCCGCGCGGTGCGCGTGTTTCCCGGCCATGGATGAGCGGGCGCTGGCGGTGAAACGCTGTGTGTCGGACATCGAAGTCGCGGCGGCTTGGGCGGCAGGAAGACTGCGGCCGAAGCGGGAGCGGGCAGTTCAGGGCGTAAGCCTTTTGAAGCGAATTGGCTTGGGTTGAAGTAGTCAGGTAGAATTTAACTTCAGATGTTAGAAGGTGCGCTTCTAGTGTTTCAAGTTTCAACACTAGGTGCTTCTAGTGCTGGGTGCCCTACCAGTCATGTTATACACCATTGTTGGCAGGCCCACCATGCAAGAGACACCTGAAGGTGGACAGCCTCACACCGAAATGGATCCAAATGGACTCTCGTCCGGACGCACCACGCTCGGTGCGTCGAATTCCCAGGACTTCGTAGCGCTGGACTTGGAGTTTTCAGGACTCTTCCTTGATGCAGCGAAGAGCGGAAAAGTCTTGAGCTATGAGGACTACTTCGCCAAGTGCGCGGAGAGCGCCTGGGATTCTTTTCGTCGAGCGGGCTGGGTCTGGTGGGTGGGCGCGGTGGGTGGGCTTTAAATGTTTGCTTTGTACCAATGAATCTGGTTTTGAGGAGCCGGAGTCCAGACTCTCTAGCATAGTTGAATAGTGTGTTTTTTTGGTCTTGGGAGCCACTAGTTGGGCTCTAGCAACTTGTCCTAGCACCTGGGTTTGTAGGAGCATGCCCTCAGCGGGGGATGCACACAAATGAGTCTGAATCAGCAAGCAGGTTTAATCCAGTGATCCAGACTCCTTGGAGTCTGACTTCGGATCTTGACGACCCCTGCACTGGGCACAAGGGAACATAGACTGCAGGACGGTCTCCCAGGTCGGTGCCCGGGTCGAGCCCGCCGTCGAGTCTGCCGCCCGTTTGCCCCTTTGCCCAGACCTGTCTGACCCAGGTGTTCCGAAGTTTCTGGCACTGCAGCTGGGCATTTGCTGCGCCCAGCAGAGGAAAGAGAACAATGGCGGTGAGACGGATCGCAGCGGCTGGGATCTGCGAGCCTTGGAGGAAGGGAGCTTCCCCCAATGGAAGCGTTGAGCCTTGCACAACACATCTGGAAGTTGAATTATGACTGGATTTTTGCAGATAGTGTCGCCCATGTTCCACCATCCCCCACCCATGATTGATGGAGAAAGGGCTAGAAGAAGAGTCAAACCCAAACCCAAATCCATGGGTGAAAGAGCAAGCCTTTTAGAAGATGACCATCTTAATCAGGAGGTTGATCGCTAGGGGCCAAAATAACATGCCCCCGCAGCACATTACAGCAATCCTGTAGCACAATTGAACGTGGAAGATGCCAAAAATCAAGCAAGTCCAGGTCCCTTGTCTCTGTTGACTTCTTCCATCTCTTTCATTTATGACGTCGGATGCCGCTCCAAACTACGGCTTCGTGCCGTTCTCCCCACACACCAATGGCGCCGCCACCGAAGCCGCCGCACCAAGGGACGCACCAATTGGACTTGTGGCCTTCAGAGCACCGGGTCTTCTCCGTCGACCTGCAGTCCTTGCGCTTCCTGCGCTCGCACGGCTTCGCGCCCTGTTCCCAGCGGGTCGGGAGGGGGGGGAAGACCAAGCCAAAGCTGTTGGATCAAACACACGGAAGAAGAACATGTGGAAAAGACATTTCAGCTTTGTCACTGGTCCCCCGCTGTACCCTACTTTGATTCAGTCACCTTGTGGGTGGCGACTGGAGCTGGACGCTCCAAGAGTAGGGGATGGGGTCTGGATGGATTGTGGGCCGCATTCGAGGGGTCGAGTAGTAGGGTATGACCTCAAACATCCTCAAAAACTTCGCTCGCTATCCAAAGCTGCTTGTGGTCGCGTGGCGTGGCTTTACAGCTGTCTCTCTTCCACTTTTAGTAGCCCACTGCAGAAGCAATTCCGGATCTCTTGCCGAAGCCCCTCACCGAAGCTCATGACTTCCCAGGATTTCAACGCTTTTCTGGAAAAGGCGCATCCCTACCAAAGGTGCGGAGCTTCTTCTTCACCGGACCCGCTTCGTGAAAGGGCGCGACTATAGGATGCCACCGGGTCCAGCACGGTCGGAGTGAAAGAAGCAGCTTGAAAAGCCCGGTTTGGGGGTCTCCGTCAGTCTGTCAAAAGCAGGATTGGGAGAGCTTGGGGCTCTGGACATGGAAAGCCTTTCACTTCTGGATTGGACGTGGGTTCTATGTAGCTCTTCGAACGTCCTCTTCGGTCTCTTGTTTAGAGAAGGAGTGGAGACTTCACCGGATCACAGGAGGAAAGGCTCCCTGGCTCCGCCTCCAGGCTCCAGAAGAGCGCGACGAGCGCCACCCCGAAGCCGCTGGGTGCGGGGCAGGTGATGGCGGCACTGCGCACGGCACAGGTGCCGCTGGTGGTGCACAACGGGCTGTGCCTGGGAAGCGAAGATGGGCGGTTTGGTTCGGGCGAAGGTGTTCAGGAAAGATAAGGCAAGGAAAGAGTAAGAGTACTGAGTAGACAGGAGCACCTGCACATGAAACTTCTGAAACAAACTTGATGGTCTGGCAGGTTCCCTGTCGCACAGGGGAGGCCCTGTTCGGATCGATGGGAGAGGCATTTGGACTGTGACTACGGCTTTTGGCTTACTACTCTTGGACGTCCATCCAGAGAGGTGCTCAAGTAAAGAAGGTTCATTTCGAGAGGAAGATCACCCAGTTCCTCAAGCACAGGGAATCCCTTTTGGCGCGTCTTTCACTCCAAAAGCCGACTCGGCCACTGGCCGGATCGCTTGGTCACTGGCCGACCGCCGGTTCGACCGCACTCCGATCAGGTCGGTCTTCGACTGCCTGGTCTGGGTCGGTCGGGTTTTGGATGATGAGGTTGGACCTGCTGCACTTGTACGACAAGTTTCTGGGTGACCTCCCGGAGGACTTCGAAGACTTTGGGAAGGCACCGGTTCGGGTGGACCTTGAGGATGTGGCGGGTGAATCGGACGGCCGGTTGGATTTGACCAGTGAGGATGGGAGGCAAAAGCCGTCGACGGGCTCCAGTTGGGCGCCACCGGGCTCCCCCAGGCTCCCCCAGACCAGCGCGGTGCCACCATGCACCCAGTCACCCGCCCGTTGCTGAGCCAGGCTTGGTTGGAACACTTCCCTTTGACCTTCGACACGCGCTTCGTGGCCCAAGAAGGGCGCTTGCAGGTTTTTAAACATCCAGGCGAACCGCGAACACCGCGTCTCCACCCCGAATCCGCCAATCCGTACGGCGGTTCCAGCCGTGACGGGGCGGTCGTGGAACAGTCGGGGGATTCGCTGGAGGTGCTTTTGGTTCCCATGAAGTTGTTCAGAGGTGGAACCAGCAAGTCCAAAGTTGTGGAAGAGGCAACTCTCGACTGGACGCAGGTTAGGTGCAGTTCCTTATAATTTATACTGATTATAACTTAATTATACTGGTCCCTTTTTTGCATCATTCGCGTTTGCATGGGGAGCGTGTGGAGTACTTGCCCCACCAGGAGCCCACCTTCCCATTTTCGGCGCCAGCTACAGTAGAGTCTAGAGCAAATGCTCCATCAATCGGACAGCCCCGTTAAACGGATCGCAGCCGGCCGGTCAGCACCTGCCGCCACTCGCCGATCCGAAGAAAAGATCCAAAAACACGTCCCTAGGCTTTCTGGCCCACCATTAATTTAATGGGCTTTACCGAATCAACTAAGGATTTTACATGATTTTACTACAAACGCCAGGTCAGCCATTTTTTTAATGGTCTTGGAAGTCTAGGGAAGTGTTCCTTTGAGGTGGCCAAGTTTCATATGAATTCCCGGTGCTCCCTCTTCACCCGTATGTTCAACCCCCCCACAGAACCACTGCATGAGATTGCATCGCAACATCTCTCGATCTCCGGACTCTCCAAACTCTCAGGACTCTCGGCCCTGAAAACACTTCCATGTCCTCCCATCCGTCACCCGGCAGCCATCTCCCGTCTCCCGACCCGTCTCCGGTGCCGGTACCAGGTGGTCTCAGTCTGCAGACTCTCTTCACCCACCTCCGGGCCTCGAGCTCCCTGCAGCTCCGGAGCCCCGAGCCGACCTCACAGGGTGCGTCGCACTCCGCCGGCTACGACGCCTATGTGACGGCGGCGGTGTTCCTCATGGTGACCGACCGGGGTCGAGTCTTGGGGGTGGAACAGGTGGAGAGGGGCGCCAACCTCCAAAGAACACGAAAACTGGGGGCTTTGGCCTGATTTGTGCCAGATTTGGTGAGTTCATGTTTCGCTTTGGAAACAGCCCCCCCCTTTCTGGCCTTTGATTCAGTTCGACGACGACCATCTCGTAGGAGATGGATGCTTGGCTGCGCTTCGACCGGAAGAAGTCCGAAGCGCCGGCCGAAGCGCCGGCCGAAGCGGCGGCCGAAGCGCCGGCCGAAGCGCCCAGCCAAGCGACGACACTGGAGACGGAGACGGTGGAGATGGCGGTGCAGCCGACACCGGGAGAGGAGGTGGGGAGGGGTTGGATGGATTTGGGGCGAGTAGGGTGAGAAGAGGTCAGGTGACAAGGTGGGGTGGGTCTCCTAGCTTCACTTATGTGGATGGCGCCAAGTGCCGCTGACCACTGCAATTCTGTTGGGCTGACGACCGTCAAAGAAAAGACGTTCTCGTGCCCGCATATGAGGCCAGGTGGCCTGGCCAAAGTCATGTAGTTGCAGCGGTGGTCCAGGGGCTCCCGTCTTTGGCGTCCTCATACGGAGAGAATTGCTAGTTCGACATTCTGAACAGACGTACTTGGTGAAACGCCCGCCATTTTTTGGCAACGATCACAGAGCGCGAAGCGTGCCCTGAACATAGATGTCTGCCACACCGCGCGGATAGGTTTTCACCACCCACACCGGACCTGGTCTTTTTGGATGAGCCTGTTGCTGGGTGGCCTGGGTTTTGTTGTTACCAGTCCCACTCCTTCGTAGGGAATCCAACCAAGAAGAGTCAAGAAGGGGCCTTCAAGAGGCAAAACAGCCGGAGAGAAGAACTCCACAAATCCAACTCCCTGACCACGCCCTCCACTTCTGGCCATTGGGCACGCAAACGCGCCACACGCGCCACAGCCACATGGCCACACGGGGATCTCTGCAAAGAAAGGGCCACCTGTCCATGAGCTGAACGACATGGGGATCAACCGGCCCCGAATTCGTCCTAGGACGAGGGCTGGCAGCCTGCGCGGAAGCGTGCGCGGAAGGCCCGAGCGCCTGCGCTGAGCGATCCCAGTGGCTGGACTGCGAGGACAGTGGCGCTGATCCCGTGGACGGGTGTAATGTAAACACGGAGCGACAAAGACCCATGTAGTATCTGGATGTATCTGGTATCAACATGTATCAGCACGAATTCACCATTCAGAATGCAGAAGAATCAGTGCGATGGCGTGGGGCTATTTGACTTGCTTCCTTTTAAGAAGCATTTGGGACGAGAACCTCCGCGGCAAGCCACTGAAGAGGTGAACTAAAAGAACACCCAACAAAGAGGACAGTCCTGCCAGATGTGGTGCCCGTAAACATCTGGAATTCTTGACGAATTTTGATGGGTTTCTCCACGGCCAGGGCAAATCCCTTTTTGATTGAGGCCTCTTGGAGAATCACAAGATCTGCCGGCGCTTCCACAACAAGATTGCCCTGGTGAACACCTCCCCGGGCTTCTTCGTCATGGGCCCGCCCAAGGGATGAAACCCGCCGTCCAACGGGCGGGGTCCGCGTTTTGGAGGCCAAAAGAGGCCGACGGGGCAGAGTTGTGCAAGGTGAGCGATCTCAATCTCATTGGAGGTGGAAGTGTTCTTTTTTGGTTTTGGAACACCGTCCAGCATGGGATTGATGTGAAGAAGCAGGGGTTGATGATATCATTTTTGAACTTTTCCACGGGATGGTCCGCAGCTCCACCCTGTGACGCCGCGCAGACGACGAAACAGGAGTTTGTCAAGAAGGAAGTCCAAGCGATCAACAGCCCGGACCTTAGAGAGCATGGATCATCACGTCAGGACCCAGTCTGTTCTTGGCAGACATAGGCCGGTTTGTGGGGGACGATGGGTACGTATGGACCGATGGGGGAACAAGCCATTCATCGTCTGTATGGGAATGAGAACGGCAAATCCATGTTTGGCTTGCATAGGTTTGATTGTTCTTCATCTTCGTGAGCATCCGGGAACTCTCCGGAGAAGTTTCACAGCATGGGGCTGGCAAGTGTTGGTTCTTCCTCCCTTTTCCGCACCCCGAGATCCCTCAAACGCCCCGCCTGTGGTGGACTGGGTCGCGAGGCGAGCACGAGAAGAACGTGCAGAGCAACGTGCGACGGATCTTCGAGCTCCTGGAGACTCAGGTGCCAACGCTGTGCTCCCGTCGCGCGGTCATTGGAACAGGGCCGTTCCTGTGCAGAAGTCCAAGACCTGCTCCTTTCAGGCGGAGGTTCGAGGCCAACAAGCAGGGGAGGAGCAGATGTGCAAGAGCAACTTCTTTTTCTCTCCAGGTTGGCCCTAGTTGTGAATGAGTATGATGGCAATTCTTCTTCACCACGTGAAGTTCCCGGGGACCACTCCGTGCCAGATGTGTGCGTGCCAGACTTTGCACGGGTTTCGCCGCAGCGCCGCCACAGGCCAACCCCGCCAGCGTGGTGGGCCGCTTCGCGACGGGCAACGCCCGCCCTGCCGTGTTTGGACTTGCGTGCCGCGTCTCGCTTCGCCGTGGACGGCGACGGGCCAAGGGCTGCCAGTGGGACATTGGTTTTTTAGATTGAGCGACATGCCGAAAGAAGCCGGACCGCTGGCCGTGCAGCCCTGAAAGCCATGTCGTTTCCTGAAGAACGTTTATAAGCCATCAACATCATCCTCCTGCATGTATCCTCTACAGAATGCTATGGGTTGGGTACTGATATAAGGCATTTTTGTAGAGAAACTTGTCTTACATTCCCAGGTTTGTCATTTTGTAGAGGAGACATTTCGGAGCTTCTGGAAGATGCTGATTTGCACGTTCGCGATTCTGTAGAAACATGGTCATGGAGTCATGGTTTTAAACTCGCCGGTTTGCATTTTGTAGAAAGGCAGATGGTGAAACAGACCTGACTCCAAACAGACGATTAAAAAGGCTCTACAAAATGACACTCTCTACAAAATGGGTTGTCAGGTTTCTTTGCCAATTTGCACTGTACCTGACTTGCAAAAGTGGTACCCTCTACAGAATGCATCACGCGCAGTTTCTACATGTTTGTAACCACATTTTCCAGAACCTTCTCATTTTGTAGAGAGTGTCCCTGTCCAAAAATGCCCTTGTGCGTGGGCATTTTGTAGAGACCCTGTTTTTACTTTGGATTTCGAGTTTGTGATTCTGTAGACCTTTGGGAACCACTTTTCGATTTATATCTACAGAATGCTTAGCACAACCTCACCTGGCAAACTCACAGGGGGATATCAATTCAATGTAGATGGTTGATGTCTGAACAAACCTGCCCATATTATTTGAATGAGATTTTACAGTCCCAATGAGTTGTTGTTCTTTTTTCATCCACCGTCTACCTTCAACAGACGGAGCGAGTCTCTTCTCCCATCCTTCCGTCTTCGGCCTCGGCGCCGTCAAAGGGGGGGACGACAGTCCGCGACCGGTAGATCCGGTAGATCCTGGGAATCCTTGGCCTAATGGTTTGGAGTGCAACCAACCTCCGCCATTCAGAAGCACAAGACGGTGAGGGATATTGACTGAACCATGAACAGACTCAATAAGGATATGCGCTGGCCATGTCACGTGCATGCGCATGAGCGCGCCGCGGAGACTCCCTGCGACCGACCCTCTTGAACCCTTCAGTGATCCCCAGTCGCGCCGTTCTGTGCGCTCGCCAGATGGAGACGCTCTATGAGGGGCCTAAGCGTCAGGGGGCCCAAGAGGGGCGTCGCTCGGCCCCTTTTGGCACAGGCCTTTCCCTCCGAACCCCGCTCCGTATGCAGACGACACCATGGGACGGTGGGAGGGAAGAGACCAAGAGACCAGAGAGGTGTTCATTTGACGGGAGACGTTTGTTGGTTGTTTGGACTCAAGGGCATGAGTCCAAAACGAAGATCTGGTGCTCTTCCTGCAATAGCATGCCAGCAGGCATGCCAGTTTCCGACTTGACAGGTCGCCCTATCTGTTGAATTTTTGGAACTGGTGACTCGGTGACCTGTAGACTCTTGATTGTATAGCATTACTTAGCTTAATAACCCACCCCACATGACGAGGCTTTTCAATTCCAAATGGGGGGGGTGATTCATCAAGAGCCTGCAGCCTGCATGAAGATGATTGAATACCTGGACCTTCTTTCGGGGTGTCCTGTCTGGAGGTCCCTTAGTAGTGGGCTGGGGCTTCCAGCCAGGTGACCCCGACATGAAGGTGCCTCCGCCCTTGCCGGTGTCTCCGCAGCCACGAGCAGCGGTCGACGGGGCTCGGGTCGCTGAATGGACTGGAACCGGGTCCTACGGAGGCGGGCCGGGTCGAACCGGACGGCTGGGGCGGAGACAGGGCGGAAGAAGGTCACGTCGTGGATGAGAAGACATGGGTTTTGAATGAGAAGACTGAAGACACACCAGGCATGTGCTGGTGGCACGTGCTGGTGTTGCAGTTGGCAGGGGAAAGCATGTCCTTGACCCGCGGAAGAAGATGTCACTGACAGATGTCACTCTATGAGTGTGGTGGCATTCCCCCAAATCGGTCGAGTCAACGCTACCGTTGGAGCATCTGTGCTGTTTCGCCGGTCTCGTGTCCGCCATCCCGAACCGGTGCTTCCCGAGATGGTCGGTTGCTCGGGGGAGGGTTGTGGCCGCCCGCTTTCAGGAAGGTCTTCCGACCTGGTCACTTTTTGTATGAGCCATCCGAAGTCCGTCAGGGCACGGCTACAGCAGCAGCTCTTGCAGCAGTGCCTGGGAGTGCAGAACGGAGCCACGCAAACCGGTCTGACGCAACGGACTCTTTTTGTTCAAAGTGGGTAGCCCAGAAGGTAACGGCGAAGAAGCGGGTCACCGGGAATCTGCCGGGAAACTGCGGGCAACGGCAAAAATGACACGCTTTCAAAGGAGAATGGCACATTGAAAAGAACATGCATGGATAATGAAAGGACTGCAAGGGAAATCGAAAAGAACATGCCGGGGTTTAAACTTGAAAGGAACATGAACCGCTAGACATTGAAAGAACGTGCCAAGATTAATTTTGAGAAAGACAAAGGAAGACCAGGTCACAGGAAGCAGGTGCCTCAACGGGGAAACTCGGACACCGCGGTTAAGCTGGCTAACAGGGACACATATTGTATAGGAATAATATATAATATGCACCTAGTTTATCCTAGTTTCAGGAAACGAAAGGAATATATTATAACATAGAATATATTACAATATATTATATCTATATCTATATTATTCTATATTATATATATTTTTATATATGCAAGGATTGAAGAAGAACGTGAAAGGATCGTGAGGGAACATCAATTGAAGGACCACGAACACATTTTTAGGGACAACGAAAGCAAAACATCATAATATGATAAAGGTTCAACTCGCAGAACCGCAAACATGCACTGTCAAGCGGACTTGTCTCAGTCGGCCGCACTCGATCTTCATATGTTCTACCCGGACTTTTGGCAAGATGATTTTCGCATGGTTTCTACTCATTTTGCTAGATGGTTCTGATTTTCCACAAGTGAAGTGCCGATTTGGACATCTACCTTGGAGGATCAGGTGCTGAATCAAACGCGTCATGAAGATGATATTGAAGCAGCCAAAATCAGGTGCCCAACTTCCAATCCAAGGCTGCAAGAGAACTGCCACCTGTATGAGATCTTGTGCCGATGTGAGCAGATCATTCAGCAGGCCTTAATCCAGAGGGTGGCCCTGCAATGTGACCAAGCAGAGAGGACACTCCGATGCCAGCCAATGCGGGTTGCTCTTTTTCGGTCTGTTAATAATACGAGGCGGCCAACGCCCCAAACAGAATCGTCCGATCCAAACGCAATGCCAACAACCCTTCGAGACTGGCACGACTGACTTACTGTAACTGACCCGGGACAACCGACCTCGACTGTAGCATCACAGAAGCCAATCAAGTTCAGAGAGGAGCAACTAAGCCTGCCCATGCTGCCGTGCTCAGGAAAACTAGACAACTCACCCCATTGATGCCGCGAGGGTTCCCTTCCGGATTCGACGGACCGACAGTGGGTCACATACCAGGAGCATCCTGTTTGGGTGTCCTGGCTGGGTGTCTCCCCAAGGAGTGGGCTAGGTAGCCCAGCCACTCCCTGGATGGTCCCGGTCGATTGGACCCGGTGTCTGAGAGATCCGGATCGCTGTCGTCCTCGTCCCATGGCCCACTTGGACCATCCGGGTGGGTCAGGTGGCAGTGCACGTTCCGATCTGGTGGAATGGTTCGGGTTCTTCATTCACCCCAGCTTGGGGGTCGGTGATTCTGAGCAAACGCCATGAATCAAAGACAACAAGCCATATTGTTCATATCACTTCTAAGAGCAGAGACTGTTGAATGTTTTTTTTGTTGCTTCTGGCGGTTATGCTGCAACATCTGGAGCAATCAAGAGGGGCAGCGTCCCTTGCGGTCACAGCAATCCCCTTGCTTTTCAGGACGGCGCTGCAGCGAATCCAGCAGCTCAACGCAACGGAGATCACTGAGCCGATGGCCACTGAGCTCAGCAAGCCGATGACAACAGCCAAGCTGGTGAAATTCCAGTAGAGCAGAAGGTTTATATA